CCACTATCCCCTGGCCCTGGAAACCACTAGTCTGACTCCTGTCCTTATATATTGGCCCATTCTGGACGTTTCATATCAATGGGATCATGCAATATGTGGCCTTTTGTGACCGCCTTCTTTCACTTAGCATGATGTTTTCCAAGTTTTTTCCGAGGCAGCACATCTCAGTGCTTCGTTTCTTTTTATTGCCAAAGCTATCCCATGGTCTGGACAGACCACATTTAGTCTTTCCACTCATCAGTTGATAGATATTTGGGCTTTTTCCTCTTGGGAGCTGTTATGAATAATGCTGCTATGAATGCTCACGTACAAGTTTTTGGGTGGACGTAATATTTTCGTTTCTTTTAGGTAGATACCTTGGGAAGGAATTGCTGGGCCACATGGTGAGCTTAATCTTTTGAGGAACTGCCAGGCAGCTTGCCACAGTGGCTGCACCATTTTACTTCCCACCACCAGTATGTGAGGGTTCCAACTTCACCTCCTTGCTAACACTTGCTATTATCTGGGGGACATTATTTCAAGCAGGGTCCCTCTGGTTGCTTTGTGGGGACCAGGATGAGGGAAGCCAGTGAGGAATGTGGCTGGACCAGAGTGCGAGCAGCAGAGGAGGTGAGAAGTGACTGGGCACCGGGGACAGTCCCAAGCCGGAGTTAATGGCATTTGTTACTATGTCAGTTAGGGGTGCCAGGGAGGGAGGGAAGTCAAGAATGACCCCAAAGATTTACTCTCAGATGGCTGAGGCTGCAGAAGAGGGTTTGGCGGGTGCAACCGATGGAGCTCAGTGTCGGTGCCGTGTGAGACCCACCAGACATCCAGTTGGGGATATACAGCAGGCGATTGGGTAGTTGACCCTACTGTTGGCGTTCACTGCACATTTCTTGAATAATTCAAGCCAGAACTGAAGCCGAATCCAGGACTCAGTCTCCCCCTCCAAAAAAATGGTCACAATAATACCACTGATCCTAGGCTGTCACGAGGCTGGGGCGATTCCTTTGCAGTACAACACCGCACTGCACACCTGGAAACTAAAGTCATGCGTGGGGTGGAGAGACGGCTGGGGTCTGCAGCTCGGGCGAGAAATGCAGGTTGTGTACGCTTCAAGCAGCGTCCGTCGGTCCGTCTCCCCGTCCCCCAGCGTCTGGCTGCCGTCTGGGAGGGGAATAGGAGCCTGGGTCGTCACCCTGTCTTCCCCCACTCTAAGCTGGGTTTCCTCCTTGGGGGCGGCCCGGGCCAAAAAACTGCTGATGGAAACCAGCTGCGGGAGGCGCAGAGGCTCGGCGCAAGCCCAGGCCCCTCCCCGGCGCCGGCAGACCCCGCTAAGGGGGGGGCACGAGGGCGCCCCAGCTCCCCTCCCCCTCTTCCGCAGCCGGGCCCGGGGCCCTGGCACGTCCGGCGCGCCTGATGCTTTCCAGATGTGAGCCCGGTTCCCTTCCCCCACCTGGCCCCGAGTCTCCTGCGGGGTTGGCGGCGGGGGAGTCAGGGTCCGATACTCTCAGATGGAATCGCTACCAGGCACCCGGCCCGCCGTCCCCTCCCCGCCCCTCTCGCTTCCCCTTCCAGGCGATAAAAAGCGAATTGGGACGGGCTGACTGCGTGGAGACGTTCCTTGCAGCACCTCCGGCTCTCCCCAACCCCGCCCCTCGGGGCACGCCTCCTCCGGCCCACGCCCCCAATAGTACGCCCCGGACGCGCCCCTTCGGAACCCCGCCCCCGGCCCCGCCCCCGGCCGTCCCGAAGCCCCGCCCCTCCCCCCTCCCCGAGGCCCCGCCCCCGGCTTCCCGAGGCCCCGCCTCCACCACCAGCCCCTGTGGGCTGCTCGGTGTGCGAGCCGGTCTGTCCGCCTCTGTGTCTCTGGCTGTCTCTGGCTCTCTACGTTCCTGTGTGTCTCTCCTATACCCGGCACGTCTCTGTCTCTGCAACCCCCTGTCTCTGTCTCACCTAGTCCCTAGGTCTCTATCTCTCCACATTTCTGTCTCTGCGTCTCTCTCTGCCACTCTCTCTGCCTCACTCCCCACCTCTCTTTGAATTTCTCTTGTCCCAGCCCAGCTTCAGTCTCTCACCCTGGCCTCCAGCCCCCTGCGCCCTGCTGCGTCCGGGTCTCCCTCCCCGGGGTGCTTCTCCCGCCCGCCCTAATATCCCTCCGCCTACGGCTCCGGCGGCGGCGGGCCGCGAGCGCCCCCGTGTGGTCATCCGGGGGCTGTCGCCAGAAGGCCCGGAGGGTTGAGTGTGGGCGCCCACAGGGGTGTGCGAGGGCAAGGAGAGACACTGAGTGTCCCTGGGTGACACCGGGGAATGGCGTGAGACGCCGAGAGATAGTATGAGCGTGTACTACCTTGGGATTGTGCGTGAAGCTAGAGGTTGTTGTGTGGCTGTGTGACCTGGGGAGATTTTGTGACCACCAGACACAGGGTGTGACTGTGAAACCACGTGTTACGCGGAAAGGTTGTGTGCGGCTGTACCTGCGAGATGGGAAAGATCACACGCAGGTGACTGCGTGGGACCCTGAGAGGCTGGCTCTGCCTGAGACACTATTCGGGAGGCTGATGGTGACATCGAGACTGTGTAGGAGTGAGAGATTGTGTGGCACAGTGTGCAACGTGGGGAGACATGAGGACCTGTGTGTGTCATGCGGGCAAACGTGTGTGACAGAGGGTGAGACAGAATGAGTATGACACACCCAGAAGGGGCGTGGGAAGTCGGTGTGACAGGCCCCAGGGGGAATAGGTGTGACAGAGGGACTGTGTGAGTGTGACAGCATATGTCAACCACACTGGTGAACTGTGAGAAGCCGTGTGACTCTGTGTGACACAGATCGTGTGGGATAGTGAGACACTCACAGCGTTGTGACAGCCCTCCAGGGGTTGTGTGACCGTGCAGGGCACAAGCAGATGAGAAGATGAGTGAGAGACCTTGTGCCCATGTAAGGGTGCAATACACGAGACTGCTGGGTGAGGGCGGTGACAGCTGAGGGTGACGGGGACTGTGAGGGGCTCAGCAGGAGCTCATCTGCATGACGGGGTGTGTGTGGGGGGGACACTCTGTGAGGGACGGTGTAAGATTGTGTGTGACACCAGGAGACTGTGCAAGAGTGAGCATGAGTGTGTATGTGGGGATCCCTGCTGGACGTGGGACTGCGTGTCACCGTGTAACACCATGCGCTGTTGTGCGACAGTGCTCACCAAAGATGTCGTGTGAGTAATTCCATGTCCCAGTGTGAGACCCTGACACAGTGAATGTGTGTGATGGACACACATTGAGAGACTGTGTGTGACACGGGGCGAACCTCCGTTTGCACCTTTGATACTCTAAGATAGTGTATCTGTGCTTGTGCCAGGTGGCATTGGGGATGACGTGACATCTGAGACATTGTGAGGGCCGTGCATGACATTTTGAGGGGCCGCGTGACTGTGGCACTGTAGGACACTGTGTGGGGAACACAAGGGTGTTGTGAGACAGTGAGGTGGCGGGCACCTGCATGTGAGGGGGGCCGTCTGTGGTGGGGTGACCCCGGGGGGGGCAGCTGTGACAGGGTGGGAGAGCACGTGATGGGGGGACAAGCTGCACGGGCCTCACAGGAGGGGTGTGTGTGACCTGGCGTAAGTGTGGGGTGTGGGGCACACCTGTGAGTGAGTGTGTGTGCGTGTTCCGGAGGGACAGAGACAAAGAGAGAAAGGGAGAGACAGAGACACAGAAAGACAAAGGGGAAGGACATCGGGAGGGGGCCAGGGTGCGGGCCGGCGCGGTGGCAGCGGGAGGAGGCGGGCCTCAGGGGCTGCGCCCCGGGGGAGGGGGCGGGGCGGGCCTGGGAGCGGGGGACACCCAGACGCGGTCTCCCAGCCGCCGCCACCTGCCCGCCAGCCCGGCCGGAGCTGCAACAGGTAGGAGGCTCGGGTCTCCCCACCGCGCAGTTAATCTCTCTGCCCCAGGTCGCAGCCCTGGTCTGTCCGCCTGGGAATGAATGAATGAGTGAGCGAATGAATGACTTTCTACTTCGCGTCTCCATCAGCCTGTCTCTGCCCCCGCCCTTCCACCTCCCTCTCCCTGTCCCCCCAGCCCTCCTCTCCTCTGTCCCCTTATCCCCGCGGTGCCTCTCTCTGCCGCTCCGATCGTCCCTCTCTCCTTTCCCACCCCCTCACTCCATCCCTCCCAGACCCCCCACCTCCCCTTCTCTGTCCCCCCACTGTCCCCTCTGTGCCTCTGTCCCCCTGGATCACTCCATCCCTTTCTTTATGCCTCAATTTGTCCTCCCCTCCCTCTACTCCTTCCATTGCTTCATCCCTCCATCCTCCCTGCCCGTCTCCCCGGTCCTGGCTGGGTAACCTGCCCCCCACCCCCCAGCCCTCTCTCCGGCTGCTAATGAGCAGAGGAGCCTTTGAGGTGGCCAGGGCTGGGGTGGGGGAGCGCCCCGAGGGGGCCGGAGGGGGCAGCTGCTGCCAAGGCCCTAATGAGGCCCCCTCTGCGCCTTTCCCGCAGCGATCTTAATTCCTTGTTCTCCCCGGAGCCACCGCTAATTGGCCTGGGGAGGCCCCCCTCCTGGCTCCTGCTCGGTCCCCGGGGGGCCCAGGACACCTGGATCCTGATCCAGCACCTGTGGCCTCGTTGGGTCCGTCCCTCCACCTGCGGGGCGGCCTCGCATCCGTGCTTCCCTCCTGCCTCCCCTGGCCCCTCCTGTCCCTCTCTGCACCTGGCCCTGCGTACCCCATCCTAGGCACCCTCCACCATCCGCTCTTACCCCTCTCCTCCCACACGTCCTGCTTTGGCCTGCCTCTGCCCCCCCCCCCCCCCCGTCTGTGCGTGTCTCTTCATTCCTCCTTTCCCCCCCTCTGTTTTCCTGTCCCTCCCTCCACCTCTGGGCACCCCCTCCGTACGCTCTGGCATCCCCAACCCCGTCGCGGGCCCCACTACCGCAGCCACCCTCACCTGGGGCCCCAGGCTCGCCCGAGCCTAACGCTCTCAGCCCCCCACTCCCGCCGGCTTCTAAGCTCTTCCCACCCTTAGCCATGTCCAACAACATGGCCAAGATCGCGGAGGCCCGCAAGACGGTGGAACAGCTGAAGCTGGAGGTGAACCTCGACCGCATGAAGGTGCGGGGACGCGGTGGGGTGGACGGCGGGGGCTCCGGGGCGGGGGACCGCACCCCGCGCTGCTGGGGGTGGGGCCCGCGGGAAGATTCCTTTCCCAGCTGGGGTGGACCCGGGGGCGGGGCTCGGCGGGGGGCGTGGTCGGGAGGGGCGGGGCCTCGGGCGAGGACGGACTCCGCGCGGGCGCCCGCAGGTGTCGCAGGCGGCGGCCGAGCTCCTGGCCTTCTGCGAGACGCACGCCAAAGACGACCCGCTGGTGACGCCGGTGCCGGCCGCAGAGAACCCCTTCCGCGACAAGCGCCTCTTTTGCGTCCTGCTCTGAGTCTTCCCGACAGCTTACCCTCCCAGGGCCGAAGTATGAATCCAATAAACGTGGTGACTGTGGTAGTGCCTGTGCTTTCTGGGAAACTGAGGCACGCCCGGAGCTTGGGGCATCGTGGGGGAACCTGTGTCCCTTCTCATCCCTTCTGTGTGTGTGTGTGTGGAGCGTGCTGGGAGGTGAGGGTGTGCAGGAGTGTGTAGGGTGTGCGGTGTGGATGCAGAGGGGGCGAGGGAGGGGAAATGAGCCCTCTGGGCTCCGACCTCCACTGAGCCCGCCACGATCTTGAATTTGTTTAATCATTGCAGTAGCTCCGCAGCTGGGCTGCTAGTATAGTATCCATTTTGCAAATGAGGAAACAGCCAAAGGAGTTCCCTTACTCCAAGCCACACAGCTACGAGGGAATGGGGTGAAGACTGTGGCATCCAGCACTGAAACCCCGAAACCCCTGAACTGGCCTCTCTCCTCTCTTGGGTTGTCGATTTTTAGGAGCCTCTGTGCTCATCCCGCCTTTCTCACCCCCTGAATGACTCCACGCCCTGCCACAGGCTTGCTTACCTCTGTCCTTAGCACTGATCTCTGTTGTTCTGGTTGCTCTTGACCAGCCCCCTGCTGAGTGAAGCTGGGCACATAATTGTCACGGAGACAGCCCTGACCTTGCCCTCTTGGGGCTCAGTATCCAGTAGGAGAGACAGACCTATCCCCAGATAATGATGACACAGAGTGGGCTGGCCTGGGGTGTGGGAGTTCAGAGGATGCTCTTGACTCAGCCTAGGGGGTCAGGGAGGGCTTCCTGGAGGAGGGTACATCTGAGCTGGGACAGAGTGGTAATAAAATTTGGGGACCAGGAGGAGAGAGAAATGTGGCTAGAGAGAGGAGACAGGTTAATGTGCACCGTTCTTTCCTTCAATAGTAATTTCTTTGTTCTGGGGACACAGGGGTGACTGTGACAGCTCTGGCTCCTGCCCTATGTTTCTCACTTCACACATTGGTGCCCCGCAGGACATTTATAGCCTGCAGTTCTATTTATTTTATTTTGTCTTTTATTTATTTATTTTTTTGGGTTCTCTACTTTTGGCCTACATAATGTTTAAAAATATTCTTGACTTGGCTCCCAAATGGAAAAACAGGAGTACTTCATTTAAAAGTCTTTATTTGCAGCTTCTCCCAAATTGGAAGTTTGGGTGACCTCAAGCCCATCTATCCCTCTGGGTGACCATAGGCTGGGAGATGGGATCTGGGCTTTCTAGCTCACTAAAGTCTCCACTGTGCCCTATTGTCTCCTGGCTAAGAAGACTGGGTGCCAGTTGTTATTTACCATGAGGTTGTGTCAGGGGCTTCTTACAGTGGAACGTGTAATGTTCTTGAATGTCTGTTGAAAATGAGATGCAGGGACGTCTGGGTGGCTATGTGGTTGAGCGTCCGCCTTTGGCTTGTGTCGTGATCCCAGGGTCCTGAGATCGAATCCCACATCGGGCTCCCTGCATGGAGCCTGCTTCTCCCTCTGCCTACGTCTCTGCCTCTCTGTGTCTCTCATAAATGAATGAATAGAATCTTAAAAAGAGAGAGAGAGAGAGAGAGAGAGAGATGCAGACTGAGTGAGCTGTGGGTTTGGTCAATCATCTTACCTAGTTGGCTGGAGGGCCACCAAGTTAGAGACCCCCCTCCCATCTCCTCACCCCAAATTCCTCTTTCCTCCAGACTAAAACCTGTGCTCCCCAGCTTGGGGCTAGCAGGGGCTGGGCCCCTGGATCTGGATGGAGCCGGCTCACCGGGCCATGTGTGCTTCTGGCGAGTGCTCCATTATTCACATTAGGGTCCCCTGGGCCCCAACTCTGAGCTTCCTGTTGGGTTGAGGCAGGAGCAGCTGTAATTACATCTCCCTCCTGCCTCCCACCCCTCTCAGCCGGCTCCAGCCTAGTTGCATCATGTCTGTGGGAGCCCCGGGGGAGACTGGGGACAGAGAGAGCCAAGGATGAGCTGGGGGGCTGGGGAGGATGGATGCTGGGAGGGAAGTTGCCAGAGGATTCTGGAATTCTCAGACCCAGCATCCTTGCATCTTAGAACCTGAAATGCATAGGCATCAATCTAGAATCGCAGGACCTCAGAAGGCTGGAATTCTGGAGTCTTTCAGCTTTGTGGGGCCAGAATCCTGTTCTTTTGTCCGGCGAGGATCCAGAGCTCTGCACTTCGAGAGTGTAAGGATTTCTTGAGCCTCAATTGTTGAGGTGTCCTTTTAGCCCTGAAATCTTTGGGCTGTGTAGTGTAGATCCAACTTCCTTCACATTCCTGGTCTTGGGGGATGGAAGTCAGGAGAAGCAAGGGGACTGGCTGACCCTGTGTGGGGAAGGGAGGGTGGGCAGGAAGGAGGTCCACCTGGAGGAGGTGGGGCAGGGAGGTGGGGAAGGGCAGTGCTAGATGAGCTAGACAGGGCAGGTCCTGGGTGGCCAGCATCCATGCATGCAAACCTGGATAATCTTGTTAGCGGGTATGACTCTGTAGTGCACCAGCTTCTGATTACCTGCTATTCCTTCCGGCCAGCCTCAGCTGTGAGGTCAGCTCTGGGGTCAGAGCCAGGCCAAGAGGCAAAGGGGTGACCGCCTGAGAAGTGTTTGCTGCTAGCAGTCCCCTCCCAGCATCCCCAAACGCTGAGGGCCCGTTGGCTGGCCCTCCCATGCTGTCTTCCCTCTGGACCCCACCTGCTCCTAGCAGTGCTTGGCTCTGCCCAGGGGGCCTGGGGGAGGGGCAGCCCCCCAGCCACAGCTATGACTATCACTTATTGGAGTCTTTCTGAAGCCCCACCTCGCTTAATTTTCAGATAACCCCCAAAAGGACTCTGTTTATCCCCATTTTACAGACATGGAATCAGGTACAGGGAAATGACATCACCTGGCCAGCTGGGGCTTGAGGTTGGAGTGGGCCAATGGATGAGTGTTGGGGGAGGCTGGAGGTGTTGGGGGGGCTGGAAGGACAGAAGTGAGGGTATCCCAGGTGACGAGCACAGGCCCAAAGGCAGGGGAGGGATGGCAGGGCCAAGCCCTTGTGAGCAGGGATGAGATGCAGAAACATAGGTAGGCAAGGGCCCATTTGGGGTTCAGGAAAGGGTGGTAGGCACCACAAAAATGGCCCCTGATTGAAGGCGTTGGCACCTGCCAATGAGGGACAGGTCAGGATGGACACAAGGCAACTTCTTGCAGCAGCAGGAGGGCATGGGTGGACAGATAGGCTCGGGTATGAGCTGCTGATGGGGTGTGTGCCAGTGTGTGTGTGTGTGTGTGTGTGTGTGTGTGTATGGGGAGGGGCCAGTGTGTGTATAAGGTGGGGCCAGCCTCTTCCCAGGGCAGGGTCAAGAGGATGGACAGCAGGGAGTCAGGAGAGGGTCGGGACCGGACCGGGCAAAGTGAGGCCTTCGCTCAGCAGCACGTCAGATGCAGGCCCCGGCAGGCAGCTGGAGACACAGGCCAGCCAGCGGGCGTGGGACAGACCCAGGGCTGCGGATGACTCAGCGGATGACCTGGCTGCCCAGGTTCCCGCCCTGACCTTCCTCTTCCATCGCTGTGGCATGCCACTTGGGGACATGCCTCCATCGGATGGTGCCCTCCGAGCCCCTCTGCGCCCCTTGCCCCCGGCACACAGTAAGGGGGTGACAGTTTGTTGAACGAATAATAACGCCAACAGTATTTGAGGGCTTCCTGGAGGGCAGGCAGGGGGGATTCTGTGTCTGATCTGCACACCACACCCCAGTACGGGCATGGCAGCCACTTGATGAAGGACATCAAGGCTGAGCTAGGGGAAGTCATTTTCTAGGGTCACACAGTGGGTGAGCGACTGGCAGGGGGCTGGAGGGGAGGTTCCACTCTCTTCCCACGGTGCTGGGCAGCCCGTCCGCGAGTGGACACCCACGGGTAGACACAGCCATAAAGAAGCACATGAGCCCACAATAAACAGACATGCACAGACACACAAGATGCGTGAATAGACACAGATGTACAAACAGGCTGGAGCGCAAATAATGCCCACCTGCCGCGACAGCGCGCACGCACCCCCTCACGGTAACATGCTCACTTCTGGGGCGCCTGGGTGGCTCAGTCCGTTGGGCATCTGATCTTGGTTTTGGCTCACTCAGGTCAGGATCTCGGGGTCTGCACTCAGCCTCAGCAGGGAGTCTGCTTGTTCCTCTCCCTCTGCACCTCCCCTGCCTCGAATAAACAAATACATAAATAAAAATAAAAAACAATGCTCTCTTCGGTGACACAGGTCCCACAATATCATAGAGACCCACACATGAAGTTCATATGTCAGCACAGCGCCTTGCGCACCAATCCCCCAGGAGCCCATGTCCCTCCCCTCCCAGGTATGGGCTGGCTGCTTCTATCATTTCTGAGCTGTCCTCCCTCTTCTGCCCCAGTCCCTGGTCCTTCTGAGGACACCTGAGTCCTGTCCTAGCAGTGGGAAAGGAGGAAGACTGATGCCCCCACCCGGAACAATTCCTCTCCCAACTTCTGCCACCCTGGAGGCCACCCCCTCATAGGCCAGCTGGGGCAACCTCTCAACCCAAGGCACCTGAAGGAAGAGGAACCCTTTCTGGCCCTGGCTGTGGGTGTGGCCACAGCTGGGCAGGATGACAGGGTTCCCAGAAAGTGGGGTGAAGGGTGTGGGTCACTGACCCAGCCCGAGGGACCTCCCATTATTGTGCCTTCTGCGGAGCCTACAGCTGAAGCCAGGGTTGCAAGGGCTCCCGGCTCCCAGTGGCATAGGTGGGCAAACTGAGGCCTGGAAGGGGCGCAGGATGCCTAAGGCCACATTGGGCCTGGGAGCAGAGTGGACTTCCTGAATGCTCAACAGTCAGTCCCTGGTGGGGACAGGAAGCCTGGGGGGGTGGGGAGCTGGCAAGAGGAAGGAGGCTCCAGGAACCAGAGCTATCCCCCAACCCTACAACTCCCCTGATGCTGCCACAGGACATAAGCCCGCCAGGCATCATCCTTCATTAATATGATATAACTTCCTGAGTTCCCTCTGGCCTGAGTTCCGTCTGCAGCCTGGGGACTGCAGAGCAGGGCGGTGGGGGAACCACTCAGCCAGGAGGCCTGAGACCCACGCGGCTGCAGGCACCTCTCTAAGCTCCCGGTATGGCTGGAACTGAGGCCGGAAGCTGGGGATGCCAGCTGAGCTTGGGTGATAGGGAGAGGGGGGGAAGGGGTGAGGGAGTTGTGGTCACCGAGGGGCACGGGTCCAGAGAGGGGAAGTCTGCAGCTACCCAGTGTTGTCCAGCCCTTGGGACCGGGAACATGATACAACATGTGGCCATGGATGGCCACCAGGCCCAGGAGGCCGGGATTACCCCATTGTACAGATGAAGAAACTGAGGCACACTGGCTTCTCATTCTCACCCAGGTTGTCGTGCCACAAAGACGGGGTGGAATGGGGGCACAGGGACTCAAATCAAATGAGTGAGCCCCCGAGTTTGTAATTTCTCTTCTTAAACTGCCTCCCTCAAAAATAAGAGGTGGCTGAGAGGGCATCTGGCCCTTATGGGTGCAGGGAGGCTGTATGGAAAGCCACTGACTCAGTGGGAACCGGGGCTGGTGACCGCTGTGCCGGCAGCTGGGACGTGTGGGCTGACCACACTGGCCCCCAGGGTGGTGGCTGGGGGTGTGTCTGGGGAGGTGTGGGAGAGATGGATGTGACAGTGATCTTAGAGTCTTGAACTGCTGTCCGTGGTCAAAATATTATTCCTGGAAGACAAGGTCTTCAGAGCTTGGCCTGGGGCCTGGGACTGTCGGAGTGAGAAGCAGGAGGGTGGGAGGGCAGTCCCCTTTGATGCTCTTGGAAGTCCTGGGGCCTGTCCCCAACAGACTCTTGGACACCAAGTCCATCCTCCCTGGAATCTCTCCTCCCAACGCTCCCACTGGGTGGCTGGGCTTGCACACAAGGACAGGCATTTTTTTCCCCTCTAGCTTGGCCACCTCCTTCCCCAGCCTTCTGGAAGGACTGAATTGTGTTGGGGGGAACAGAAATCTCAGTAGTGCTTGTAAAACACTCCATCCGGGAGGAATTTCCTGGTCATTTCTCAATCCCTGGGCAATGTCCTAACCCCGGGGCCTGGAGCCCGGAATAGATCTCACAGGCCATCCCCAGACAGCTTCTCGGACTGGTCAGCCGTGCCCCTCAGGTCTCGTTCTGGTGTGCTCCAGAGCGGGATGACTCAGTGATCCCCATGTGGGGCCACTGGGAGAGACCTACATGTGGGGAAGTGGCAGGTGGCTCAGGGATGGGACTTTGAGAGGAAGCAGGGAGGGGAGGCAGAGGCGAGACTGGGCTGCACTGGGCTGGGGAGCTGGAGGGAGTGAGCAGGCCAGGGAAGTGGGGAGGGAGCCCCGGGGGAGGGGGCAGCTCTGGAGCTGGCAGGGGGAGGGAAGGCGGGGCAGCCAGAGGAAATGAAAAAGCCGGGGCGAGCGGGCTAGATGAGAAGGAGGGAGGGCGGGGGAGGGAAGGAGGCTGAGAGGCTGACACAGCGCGGAGAGCAGCTCAGCCAGCAGAGCGGAGAGCAGGGGACAGAGCAGGGGACAGGGACAGAAGGCAGAGGTGTGGTGAGGAGGGGGTGGAGGGGTGCTGGGGAGTGAGAGGGCGAGGCAGAGGGGGAGACGGGGTGGACAAGGAGGGGAGAAGTGCAGAACTAGGGAACTAGGGCGAGGGAAGGACGAAGGAGAGAGGGAGAGAGAGGAGAGAGACAGACAGACGGACCGGAGGCCCGGAGAACTGGAGGGGGTGTGACCATGGGGAGGGCGGTGGGCGTCTGAGTGGGCCTCAGGGGCGCCCCGGCTCCCCACCCCCGCTCGCCCCCCCACCCCGGGCCCCTCTAGTCCAGCCCGCACCCCACCCGGAGGCAGGGGGTGCGGATGGCGGACTCTTGCAGGAACCTGACCTACGTGCGGGACTCGGTAGGCCCAGCCACCAGCACCCTGATGTTCGTGGCGGGCGTGGTGGGCAACGGGCTGGCACTGGGCATCCTGGGGGCGCGGCGCCGGTCACGCCCCTCGGCCTTCGCAGTGCTGGTCACCGGGCTGGCGGTCACCGACCTGCTGGGCACTTGCTTCCTGAGCCCGGCCGTGTTCGTGGCCTACGCCCGCAACAGCTCGCTGCTGGGCCTGGCCCGGGGCCGGCCCGCCTTGTGCGACGCCTTCGCCTTCGCCATGACCTTCTTCGGCCTGGCCTCCACGCTCATCCTCTTTGCCATGGCCGTGGAGCGCTGCCTGGCGCTCAGCCACCCCTACCTGTACGCCCAGCTGGACGGGCCGCGCTGCGCCCGCCTGGCCCTGCCTGCCATCTACGCCTTCTGCACCCTCTTCTGCTCGCTGCCCCTGCTGGGCCTGGGCCAGCACCAGCAGTACTGCCCGGGCAGCTGGTGCTTCATCCGCATGCGCTCCGCCGAGCTGGCCGGCTGCGCCTTCTCGCTGGCCTACGCCAGCCTCGTGGCCCTGCTGGTGGCCGCCATCGTCCTGTGCAACAGCTCCGTCACCCTGAGCCTCTGCCGCATGTACCGCCAGCAGAGGCGCCACCAGGGTTCGCTGGTCCCCGGCCCCCGGGCAGGAGAGGACGAGGTGGACCATCTGATCCTGCTGGCCCTCATGACGGGCATCATGGCCGTGTGCTCCCTGCCTCTCACGGTGAGTGCCCCCTGCGGCTGGGGCGGGGTGGGGGGCAGGGCCTATCTCCCAGATGGGGACGCTGAGGCCTGAAGAGGTCAGAGGCTCTGTCTACCATCAAACAGCCCCCGACTTTCTGGGGAAGTCTCTCCCCATTTGCTTCTGGCCCATTTGACTCCTCCTGACCCCTTGGTCTCCCCACCTTTTCTATCTCTAGCTACCCCAGCAACACACCCCAGCCTTCCCCTACCCCTGTAACGATAATAAGATCCACCATTCATTGAGCACTTGTTGTGTGTCCACCCTCTGCCCTGCGGTTTTACAAATTCTCTCTCACGTGATCTTTAAATGACCTTAGGCACCCATTCTACAAGCACTAGCAAGGAATGGAACGAAGTTCCTGTCCTGTCGCTATTTTTACAGATGAAGGGTGATGGGTCTTACAGAGCCAGGTCTGGTCCAAAGGCTTCTCTGACTCGAGTCTGATTTCCCCATCACTTCTCACCCCAGCCCCACCCCGCCTCTGCCTGGGACTCGCCTGGCCTTGCCCCTTGCCTGCAGAGCTCCTGCCTGCCTCCCAGGAACTGGAGTGGGTTGGTCGCCTGGTCCCCCGTACTGTGGCACCTACCTGGTCATCCCCACCCCCACCCCCGCCCTGTATTTTGGGCCTCAGGTTCTCTTTTTGTAAAATGCAAGGGCTGCTCCTCAAAGCTTTGGGGGGGGGATTAGAGATGACTCACAGACTGGAAATGTGGAGAGACACCCAGCCGTAGCCCCAGGACTTACCCACATGACCTCTGCTCCGTCCCTCCAGGCTGGTGGTTTCCTGGGGCTTTCTCTCCCTCTGCTCCCGGGATGCATCTCTTACTTACTTTTCATCTTATCTTTATTTCCTTCCCCTTTTGAAGGGCACCCTCCCTCATTCCTGCCAGTAATCAAGTGCAAGGAGGGGAGCGAGGGTTGGGGTGTATGTGGGGTGGGGGGCAGAGGACTCAAGGGCACCCCTGGATATCCCCACCCTGCCCCAGATCCGAGGCTTCACGCAGGCCATCTCCCCGGACAGCAGTGAGATGGGGGACCTCCTTGCCTTCCGATTCAACGCCTTCAACCCCATCCTGGACCCCTGGGTCTTCATCCTCTTCCGCAAGACTGTCTTCCAGAAGCTCCGGCTCTGGCTCTGCTGCCCGGGCCCCAGGCCTACCCTCGGTGACTCGCAGACCACCCTCTCCAGGCTTGCCTCGGGCAGGAAGGACTCAAGGCCTCCCACTGCTCTCGGGGGGACAGAGGGGAGCTGGGTACCTTTGTCAGTCTGGGGCGAGGGGCAGGGGGCACCGTTGCCCCAGGCACAGCGATCGGTCAGCACTGTGGGAGCATCATCCAAGGTGGGGTCTGCAGCAGCCTGCTCCCTCTGCTGACATCAGCTGCCCATCATCTCCTGTCCTGTCTTCTGGGTGCAGGAGCCAGATGCTCAGGGGCATGGATGGTGGAGGACGAACGGAGATGAGTCCCGGAGTCCTTGCCTGCCAGGATCTTTACCCCCTGAATGACGGGCCAGGGGGCGATCAGCTGCTATTTCCTTATTTCTCCTCTTTCAGGATGGCCATGACAGGCTCTGGGAGAAGAGGGCGGGACAGAGGGAACGTTTATCCTGGATCCCAAAAAGAACGGTTCTCTCAAAATAACCAGGGCCCCGGCTGGCCCAGTCTGGCCCTCGCTTGCCCATCCATCTCACTGTCTAAATATTTAGAAGGCAGACAAGTTCCCAGAAGCTTCTGTGCACTCAGGTCTGCTCTGGTCCGGGTTCTGGCTCTGACCCGCACTCATTCAGGGTGCCTGGCTGCCTACCCCAAGCCCCCAGGGGACAGCCCTGACCTCTCCCAGGCCACTCCGAAAGTGGCCTCCTGGGAGCCAGAGATTCTTGGACAAGCTCCCTGCCTCCCTTCACTCCTGATTTCCCATCAGACTTGGAAGCCCTGGCCCCCCAGGGGGAGGACGGATGAAGGAGAGACTGCTACATTGTAGGTGGCACTGCTGGACATGTGCCGGGGAATCTGCATGGCTCGGTGGGCGGCAAGATGTGGACCGTGGGGACCCAGGTGTGGGGGGAGATGGAGTGGCCACGTCCAGGCCTCCCAAAGGCATGGGAGTTACGGATCCCAGGGACCACCTGGGAACACAGCCCTAAGTCCTGAGCCTGTCCCTGGATGAGTAGCTGTCGCTTGCTTACAAAGCCTGACCTCAACCACCTATGTTGTCCGAGCCCTCACAAAAATTTCATTCATTTATTCAACAGCTGGTAGGCACTGACTCTGCAGGTGCTGGAGACACAGACCAGTCTCTGCCCCACCCTCCTGAACTCCGCAGGGGTGATTTCCAGCCTTGGGGACTCTGGGGGCCATCCTCTGCCCTCAGAGAGGCCTAGGATTAGCAGTGCTCTGAGAGTGAGCTGACTGGCAGGAAAGGAAGTGGTGTTTAGGGGATACGAGAAAGCCCATCCTCTCCACCCCCAGCCCTACCTAGTTCCCCTTCACACTTGCTCTAGGGTTAAAAGCACGGGATCCAGTGTTAAAAGGGTAAATGTACACCCTGGAACAGGGAGGGTAGGGAGGCCTCTGTAGAGATGACAGCAGCTAACATCAGTGAGTCCTCCGCCCTGCTCATATTGGAGACTTTCCACAGAAACTAAAATCAAGGTTCAGAGAGGGTAATCGCCAGCCCTCAGTCACACAGCAGTCTGTAGGTGAAGCTGAACGTTCTGTCTCCAGAAGCCTGCACACTTGTTTGGCTAGTGGCTTTGGCTCTTTGTGCCTTGGCTTCCATTTGTGCAGAGTGGCAATCACAATCTAGAATTCAGTTTATAGGGTTGTGTGGGGTTATTAACTGATTCCCTCTGATAAGCAGCTGAGTAGAGGGCCTGCCTGGAATAAATATCACAAGAAATGTTACTGTTACTGCCATCCTGTCTTTGCTATTGTTATCTGTGGCTAACTGGGCGAAGGTGGGCTGGAGAAAAAAAAAGAAACATTTTGCTACCTTGCTTTTTCAACCACTATGATCAAATCATATTACAGCACAAGAGGGTGTCTGGGAGAGTCAAAAATAGTCAAGATGATTGAGTTAGTTGGTACTGGTTTCCTTTTGGGGTAATGCAAATGTTCTGGAACTTGATAGTGCTCAGTGTTGTATCACATTGTGGATATACTAAATATCTCTGAATTATACACGTTTAAATGGTTAATTTTATGTTATGGGTATTTTGCCACAATAAAAAATATGTAACCCTAAAAAAATTTAAGGGTGTTTAGAATTTTTTTGACATTTTTGACATTTATGACTCTTGCCAGAGTGACATATTGGTTGAATTTAGTAATAAAAAATAAGCTGACCTGTACAAAAAACCAAACAGGGCAAGTGGAGTCCGGCCTTTGTCAGCAAACCTGGCCTGGCCTCAGTGGGAACCCATCCAGAGGGACTCTCCCCCAGCCCCAAGGGTAGTGGAAAAGGGTGGGTGGGTGGAGGGATCCCAGAGGATCCCAAAAGGGAGGGATCCCACCTCCCAAAAGGTGGGAGGCATGAGAAAGGGAGCCTGCCTGCCTGTCCAGGCAGGACCCCCAAGGGGGCGCTCTCCTCTGCCGTTTGTGCTGTCCCAGCAAGCGGGTCAGTCTGTCTATCTTGCCTCTTAGGGCTCGCTAAATTATGGCAGCACAGGGCTGGGCATTCCAACCCACCCCATCCAAGCCTGGGGTGGGTGCTATTATCATTCCCATTTTGCAAATTTGGATGAAGGGGAAGTGAGGATTCAGTATGGAAGCTTGTTCTTTCTTCTTTCTTTCTTTCTTTCTTTCTTTCTTTCTTTCTTTCTTTCTTTCTTTCTTTCTTTCTTCTTTCTTTCTTTCTTTCTTTCTTTCTTTCTTTCTTTCTCCTTCCTTCCTTCCTTCCTTCCTTCCTTCCTTCCTTCCTTCCTTCCTTCCTTCCTTTTCTTTCTTTCTCTTTCCCTTTCTTTCTTTCTTTTTCTTTCTTTTCTTTCCTTCCTTCCTTTCTTCCTTCAAGATTTTTATTTATTTATTTGAGGGAGAGAGAGGAAGCGAGTACAGAGGGAGAGGAAGAAGCCGACTCTCCACTGAGCAGGGAGCCCGATGTGGGGCTGGATCCCAGGACCCTGGGATCATGACCTGGGTCGAAGGCAGATGCTTAACCCACTGAGCCACTCAGGCGCCCCGCAAGCTGGTTTTCCGCTGGCTGTGACCCACCAGGCCTGACATCTCAAGAATCCGTCCACCCTCTGCATCCCGCTGTATCATTGCAGACTCCCACCACCTCTGGCCTGGATGTGTACACTATCTTCCAGGTCAGAGGCTCTCAAGCGTTTCCTGCCCCATCTATCTGCCTGCAGCCCCTCCGGGAGGATTTAGAAACTCCTTTCCTAGCTGGTGTCCTGACCCCTGACTGTCTTCCCTGCTCGCTTCTGGAGCCCGATCCAAGCGGTCACTCCCCTGCTTGCCAAGCTGGGAGCTGTCCCACCGCCTGGAGGCCGAGGCCAGCTCCCTCGCTCTCTGCTCAGCCACAGCAGACAGCCGAGGGCTCTCTCAGGGCCTGTGCATGACCTGTCGGGCTTCCACCTCTTTGGTCATTGAGCCCATCCCTCTTGGAGCAGTGTTTCCCCTTCTTTTGTCAAAAGCGTGCCCTAGCTTTTCAGTTCCCACTTAAACTATTCCTTCTCCTTTAGTTTTCCTTTAAAGATTATATTTTTAGGTAATTGCTATGCCCAACGTGGGGCTCGAACTCACAACCCTGAGATCAAGGCGCCTGACCCACTGATTGAGCCAGCCGGGCGCCCCTATTCCTTCTCCTTAAAGATTTATTCACTTATCTCAGGCACTTTGGAGCTCCATGGTGGTGCTCCCTGCAGCCTGCCCTGGCACAGACATTTGCTCACTCAGCAGGCTCTTATTGACGCTGGGGACATGGCGGTGACACACACAGCCCTGGCCCTGCTCTTCTGGGGTTCACAGTCCAGAACAGGCAGAGCTGAGAGGGGACACCTGAGAGGGGAGGGCTTCTTGGAGAAGGGGATGGCTGAGCTGGACCTGAGGACTGGAAGAAAGTGAGCCCAGGATGGAGGGGTGCTCCCGTCGTGCTCACAGTTCTGCCTCCGGCCTCTTAGCCTCTTGTTCATTTCATTAACTCCAGAGTCCCTGGAATCTGCTCGGGGTCCTGGGCTGCTCTGTGCCTGCTGGGGATACAGCGGTGATTGACACTGCCTTGGCCCTATCTCACTCACATTCCAGTGGGATGACAACTTAATAATCACAGAACTAAATATTCCAGTAAGCAGAAAAAAAGATTTGTGAGCCAGGATGAGCGCTGAGAGAGCATAGCCCAGGGTCCTGCCCGGTGTGGCGGAGTATCAGGAAGCCCCTGTTCATTTATAACTTCATTCTATTCATTTTGGACTTCCTAGAACTCGGCCTGGCCCACAGATGGGACTCCAGTGCGGGCACACACACACACACTGTCTCTGGCCCATTCCCAGGAGTGGCAGCTCTCCGGGCCTTCTGTACTCATTGCCCCACCTGCTGGCCACATTGGGAGTGGCATTTAGAAGTGGTCCCTACTCTGGGGAAAGTGAGGGGCCCTGGGTGTGCACCTCCCGCTGTGCCCCTGGGCTAGTCACCCACTAAGGAGAGGTGTGAGCTGGTCTATTGGACCCGAGAGCCAGAACTGGATGTGATTCCCACTCAGCCTCCTGCCCTGGGCTGGAGTCAGCCCTCTCAGGGCCTGCCCCATGTCCATTAAAAGCTCAGAGTGCCATCTATGCATCTTTGATTAATAAAGAATGGGAAAGAGAAGTCATGATTATTTAATAAAGCAGCCTATCTGGGAGTAAAAGTCTTTCAAAACATAGGGCCCAAGGGGGGGAAATAATGATAGGTGGTAGAGCAGTGCAGGCAATGTGAGGCAGCGGTTGAAAGCATGGGTGTTTGGGATCCAAATGATCTGGGGTTTTGAGACTCAGCTCAGCCACTTCCAAGAAGTGTGGTGCAAGAGGGTTTATTTGCCCAGGGCTTCCAGTTCTTTAGTGTCAGATCTTGATCATTACTCCATGCCTATGAGCACCCTCCATGGGGGTTGCATCCTGTTAGGATTCAATCTGGCCTGCGTGCCAGTCAAATGCAGTAGGTCTAGAAAGTGGTTGGCACAAGCCTCCAAAGTGGGTATTTTTATGATCTTCCTCTAACAGTGTCATTATTATTCCCCATTTTGCAGATGGGTAAACTGAGGCCCAGAGAAGTAAAGTCACCACCCCAAGGTCAAAGTAGGAAGTGGCAGAAGCAGACCTTGAAGTTTAGGGAGTGCACAGACTCGCTGGAGCAAGTGCTCACATTGGGCTTGGAGCCCAATTCTGTGGGTCACCGAGACTTGTGTTTCTCTCAACTGTGAGACTAGAATTTTCCACAGGTGTCCTGGCAGCCAGGAGGGCAGCTCCCATCTTATACTTTACCACTGTGACCCCAGACTCAGCCTAGGCTTCCTGCTGGCTCTGGCTTGCCTGAAGTCCGTTTTAAAATTACTATTAAAAAATAATAATAAAATAAAAAAATAAAATGACTATTTAGGAGCACCTGGGGGGCTCAGTGGTCGAGCGTCTGCCTTTGGCTCAGGTCATAATCCCAGGGTTCTGGGATCGAGTACCGCATCAAACTCCCTGCATGGAGCCTGCTTCTCTCTCTGCCTATGTCTCCGCCTCTCTCTGTGTCTCTCATGAATAAATAAAATCTTAAAAAAAAAAATACAACTACTCTGAAGGCAGGAAGCTGAGAGCATGGACTCTTTGGGGTTGACTTGGGTTCAAACTCCAGCTCTGCCATTTGAAGCTTGCCTCAATAGCCTTGGAGTAATATCTTCACTCTTCCAGGCCTCTGTTTCCTAGTCTGGATTCACGCCTCCAGCCCAAATGGTTGCCTGCAGGATTCCCCCAGATGGAGGCAGAGCTGAGAAGAGAGTCTGCGGCGTAAAGAATGACACTCGCCGGACCCCAGGCCTAGTTCCTGTGGGCTCCCTCAGGCCTCAGCTAGCCCCGGTGCTACCACTCCCATTTTATGGACAGGGTCAACTGCCTGAGGTCACGGAGGCAGCCAGGCATGCCAGACCCACAGCTCTCGTCCCTACGCTCTTACTTCTGCTATACCAACAGAGAGGCGAGCCACAATCAGCTGGCAGAAAAAGGGGACAGAGGAGCTGGGGTTCCGGAAAAATGGCCTGCTGCTCCGGACTTCCCCACCCACAGAACTGGGCTCAGCAACTGGCCCACACCAGGAAGATCCAGCCTGGGCCTAGGTCTCCACAAGGAAGAACCCTGGGGCTGGGTTTCTCAGCCCTTCTAAGGCCAGGTGAAGATGAGCCAAAGCAAGGTTGTTATTTTTATTCCACTGGATTTGAGCTCTGATTCCCTCCTGCCTAGCCCCTGTGGTGGTCAGGGTACAGGTCACAAGTTAGATGGTGTCCGTTAACTGTTCGTTCACTGCACCCCTGAACAGCAAGCAGGTGGGATGTGCAGTTGGGGGCAGGGCACCTATATTTTTGGGAAAGCCCCTAGGATTCTGTTTAATGCCTCCACTACAGAACCACTGGACCCCAGGCCTTTCTTCTTCACAACCTCACTTGTGGCAAGGAAGTTAAGGGGCTTTTTGTTTCAAATCTCCTTGTCTCGTGCCCTCATAGGGAGTTGACTAAAGCTCTGTGAGCTTGGGACTGTCTGGCGTGTGGGCCGCTTGACTGACACTGACTCATTCAGTGAATGTCACCCCTTCCCCAGAGCACCCTGAGAATCCCCCACCTGGTCTCACCCCCAGGAGCTGCTTCTTTGCTGTTCCCTTGGGTGACTCCTCCTCCCCTCAACTATAGGAGTGCTCGGCCTTCAGGTCTTGGCACAATGGGCTGCTCTCGTGGCCCTGGACTGGCCCCAGGGCTGGCCAGTCCTCATCATGCACTCATTCAAGTGACTGATACCTGGGCTGGGACTGGTCTTCCAGGGGCACCCCTTCTTAACTACGGCAAGCGCCAAAGCTGATTGGCTGCATTGCCAATCAGTATCATGCCCTCAGTGACCATGAAACCTGGCTGGGGTCACAAGTCCTCTCGGCTGCCATGGCAAGGAAAAGGCTCTTGAGTGAGCATGGAAGACAGACTCAACCAGGGCAGGGCTGCAGGGCCCATGCAGGGAGCAGGCCCAGAAACAGAGACAAGAGGGGAAGACCCATGTCAGGTAGTCACTGTATTTTATTGGAAAACA